CCCCTCGCGCTCTCCCTGCCCCGAGGCAGCCCCGCTGCCTCCTCCCCGCCCGTGCGCCCCCAGCCCTCCCTGTGCTGGGGGGGCTCAGAAGTTTGCGTGGGAGAGGCAGGGACGCCAAGTTCAGCCGGGCTTTGTCTGTGACAGTTCCTGTGCTGAAACATCAGGAAATGGCACTAACAATAACAGCTGTGGCACTTTTGGAGTATTTTGTTCACCCGACTCTGCCTTTACCTGTGTGTGCTGACCGCGCAGGGCGATCAAGTTTGCCCCTTGCTGAGGAAGCCGAGGGGGAAGGTGGTTTAGCCACCCTTCATGTCAGTGATTTGTTAAAAAACACAATTTATTTTTCCCTTCCCCTTGTGCAAGACCATCTAATGAAGAGGCCGGTTATGCAGGGCTTCAGAGCCTCTCAGTTTGTGTTTGGGCAGGGCAGAAAACCCCTTTGTCTGTGGGTTGTTGATGTTGGGGGGCCAGCAGGTGAGCAGGTGCTGCCCATCCACACAGATCTTGGTTCTGGTTTTAAGCAGAATAAAATCCTATGGAAAGTGCGTTCACGCGTCTACCCGGCTGGTGCCAGTTTGAGATGCCCAAGCTGCCCCTAGAATTGGTAGTTTAGGATGTTACGGGTGTGGGGATCAGCTGTGAGTCCTGAATGCGTCAGGTGGTCTTGGTCAGTGTTGGTATTTAGCAGTGGTGTAACCCCTAAGCACACGTAGGCCAAAGACCAGCACCTTCAGGAGAATGTTTTTGCGCTGTAGTGGAAATGACCCTCTGCCTGGTGCAGTCTGGCGATGGTAGTGGTGTGTGTGGAAAGCTGGAGCGGTGTGCTGAGACTCTGGCAAAGCTGTAGAACCAGAAGCCACCTTACAATCAATTGGCAGTAAAAGGAAAACCATCCCCTGGCAAATAAGAGGACAGAATTTCTTTGAAAAACATTTTGCAAAGTCAAATTACTGCACTTCCCTGTGTGGCTTTGAGTCATGCAACTGGAATGTTGGTGTTTTGGTTTTTTTTGTGGTGGGTGAGGTTTTTTTATACTTTCCTGTGCATCAGCTGACTTGAATTAGCCTTTGGAGCCAGTATGCCAAAGCACCTTTCCTTGCCAAAAAGTTCTGACGTATGTGATTGGAAGTTCTGTATCATGCACTAGAGCCTGACTCTTTTCATAATCTTCCAGTGCATCCCCTTTGGCAGAGTCCACTTACGATTCCTGGAGGCACTCGGCAATCTCCTATCAATATCCAGTGGAGAGACAGTGTTTATGACCCCTTTCTGAAGCCTCTGAAAATAAGCTACGACCCAACGACGTGTCTTCACATCTGGAACAATGGGTATTCGTTCCTGGTTGAGTTTGATGATTCTACTGATAGATCAAGTAAGTAAACTTCAGAAAAATCTATTCAATGTCTTATTAGTGCTTAGAGAGGAGAAATACTTGCATGATGTAATATCTCAGGCCAAATGATGAAAAAGGATGCACAGTAAAAAAAACTTTTGGCTTTACAGTGGTGGGAATTGCAGTGCAGAAGTTCTGTATAGGCCTCGCTCTTACTGTGTATTTATTACCCTGGACGTTGTGCACAAATCCTCTGTTGCAGGTTGAAATTTATTGCACAAGCCTTAACACCCTGCCCTTTGACTAGGTCTTGTAATATCACAGCTTCGTCTGCGTGAGTCGATCTTCAGTCATATGTATGTGCATCGACTTAATTCTAAATGAGATTCCATCCTTACGCTTTATTGATCTGCCACTTCTCTCTCTATTTAATGCATTTGAAATAATCAGCAGCAAAATTACTTTCAGCTGGAAAGCATACATACTTATCTCGATAAGCTTTTGGAGAATTAAATAATACTGAACTGCTACCCTAGGAGCTGGTGCATATGTTCCTGTTGTTTTAGTGTAAGCAGGAGTCCAGGCACGCAAAATCAAATTTGGCATTCCAGCATTTTCATGTGAATGAGCACTCTGACCTGAGCAGCTAAATCTTTTTTTTAAATGCTCACTAGAGTTAGGTGACTTAAAATCAAGGTACGGCTACCAAATTCCAGATTTTCTGTCTGTTGTTCCTTTTAAAAGTTAACTTTACCAAAGGATGTTCCTGGTATGCATAAAGGAGATATTTCATAAAGGTAGATGAACTGGTAGCAGTTGGTCAGGGGTATTGTGAAGCACATGATTCATGTTGATTACTCAGCTTGTCCTGGAGAGAAAAATTGCGGGACCCTGAGCAAGTTTGAACCTGTTTGATTGGAGTCATTTATGTTTAAGGTGACTGCTTACTGTGATAGATGCTGGAACTTCGTAAGGGGTTTAGTAATGCTCTTGGGAAGGAAGCCTTCAGCATGCTAATAAACAAACACTTTGTCCCTGTGATACCAGTTTTTATGGCTGATGTTTGGAAAGAGGCTGATAAAACAATGCAGCAAAAATGAGAGTGGTGGAATGCATGGAGCTTTCAGGGGCTTGTGTGATGTTCAGAGGGTTTTTTTGATGTTATTGTTTATAGCTGTTCCCCCAGAATATTAGTTTCCCACTAGGGAATAATCTTGCCCCTGTTCCTTTGGGTGCTATGAAGAAACCAAGTAGTGCCCTTCTGTTTCCACAGTACAAACTGCTGTTGTGTGAGGGGAGAGACTAAGGTGGAGACATTGCTTGTTAGCTCATCGGTGATTTTAACTTACCAACTTTAGAGTGGTTTTGCTTTTCATTTAAGTGTCTTTTACTTTATACAGTCATACGCTACTGTCTGTTGAAGATGTGTCCCTGAAAAATGTGATGTTTTGCGGTTTGATGGATAAAAAAGTGGGTTTTTTCTGCAAGAATTGATGTAATGGAGGGGAACTGCTTGCAGGAGGCTCACAAATACGCAGCATTTAAACACACGGGGATGGTTTTTGTGACGTGGAGGCAAGCATGCAATCATCAGGACTGTCAGTTAGAGGGATGCTGGCCTTTCATAGGCTGGCTATTCGGTTCTGAAATACCTTACCTGCTCCAGCTATAAGACTGAACACTTGAGGTGAATCTTTAGGCGTGAGCGTTCTTGCTGCCTTTTTCTGGATGGCTGACTTAGTCGGCATCATCTTCCTCAAATGAAGTAAAGTCCGTGAAGGCTGATGACGGCTGGTGGAGGGTGGCATTAAGGGATCAGTGACCAGGGTTCCAAAACAACAAACAACAGATCACAGGGGGTTGCTGTATGAATAGTGAGGTTTTCAAGTGTCTGCCTCTCTCTTCCACCTTTCTGTCTTTACTCCTGCTATTTCTGATTTTTCTTTCTGCCAGCTTCTGTCTAACAGTCGTAGAAATCCAGAGAGGGAACGTTATGAATAAACCAAAAAAAAACCCCAAACAGGAACTGAAGTGACACAGAAGATGAAAAAGACAAAATGAAACATCCACCCAGGATAGACAAAAATGCCCAACTCCTGCAGTGAGGCAAAACAAGACTTGGGCAAAAGATGAAGTTAGTGCTGCCATGGGGTGTTTGCTTATGAGCAGAGCAGGAGGATGAAGAGGAGGGTGTGGGGAAGGTATGTACAGAACATGGTGTGTCTGTGTGCATGAATGCCATCAGCTGCAAGGAAAACGAGACTGAAACAGAACTAGGGCTGCAGTAACAAGCTGATGTGGATCTTACCCCTATTTGTTGTCAGAGTTCTTTTAAATTTCTGTTTTGTTTTGAAATTGTCAAGACTGGTAGACTGGGTGGAAATGAAATGACAGAAGTGTTTGAGAGACCGAATTCCTGTTTGTTTCCTGTCACTTTCTACTGACCACTATAGGAACCTGATTTTCTATGTATGTGTGCCTTTGCCTGACTTAATTTGTGAGGCAAACATTCACGTGAATGGGATTGTTAAAATGAGTGTAGTCACTTGTATGTTTGTGTCATCCCATAATGCGGAATGGACGGTCTTAGAGAGCAGAAACTTTAATTCTGAAAGACTTGGCAGTGTGGGCCACATCTTCATCCCATCCCCGAAAGGTACCTTTCTCCGTCGTGATCTTTTTCTCAGTGATGGTCAGTATTGCATTTATGCAAAGAGTTCAGCAGCAGTGGATGAAATTAATTGAATGGCTCTTTGCACAGCTTGGTTTAGCTCACGCTTTTGTCACAAGCAGGCCTGTCTAGTTGGAATTTAAAAACTGCTGGATGGCTTTTAGGAGAGAAAAAAAAAAAAACAACAAGAAAAGCTCTTAATGCCTCTCATTTTTTTCTCCTTAGCATTAAAGTGATTAACTTCTTTTCAAAAGTAGTGTTGGGATTATGTACTTTATACAGTGGTTTGCTATAAAATTTAACCATGACGTACAGTTAAGTAAAAATCAGCAAATGCATCTCTACAGCTACATATTTGTTGTTAGGCTTTTGGAAGTAATTATGGTCTCTCATTTACCAGATGCTGTGATGTAGTAACTAGCAAGAAGACTTTGCAGAATGTTTCTGGTTCAGTTAGGAGGAAGTGAGTAAAACCCAACAGGATGCAGAAAATAGGGCATAGACTTTTTCATTGCTCAAACAATTTTGTCACAGCAAAGTGAACTGTAAAAGTAGCCAAGCAACACATCTTTTTTTTCCCCTGGGTAAATTCAAGGAGGATCTTGCTGTGCTACTTGTCTGCACAATTCTAAATCGTGTTTATTAACGTGCATCTTGCTTTGTTTTCTAGTAATCGTTGGCGGTCCCTTGGAAAACCAATACAGGCTGAAGCAGTTCCACTTCCACTGGGGAGCTATAAACGAGTGGGGTTCAGAACACACAGTTGACAGTAAATTTTACCCGGCAGAGGTATGAGATAAAGTGCTGAACAATGCAAGTGCTTGTGGGGACTGAAGGCTAGGTCTGGGCGGTCTGTGACTAGACTGCATGATAGAAAACTCCCCGTTTGAAGAATTGCAGCTTACTGTTAATGATCGGACCTGATGGGTGCCGCAGCTCATTTACTCTTTCATTAGTAAGTTCCTATTCCCTGTGTTTTCTGGAGAAGAACAGAGTCTTAACATAGAACGTTGGCCCAGTTACTGAAAGCTTCAGTAATGTTTTCTTCTCCCTGAATGTCCCCAGGGGTAGCTGCCGGACAAGCCAGTGGCAGGCAGCAAATCATTGCTATTCCAGCACTGTCTGGATGGCGTGGCACAACTCTGCTTGCCCTTTCCCCTTGTAAAGGGGAAAAGGATGAGACAGAAAGCAGACTGAGGGCACAGTCAGGTCTTAATGGACTCCCAGGCCCCAGATCTGTGGTGCAGATGAAGTGCACAGTAAATACTGAGGTACATGTGCAAGCTCAGGGCTCAGTTAAAACGATTTGTGCTCTACCTCTGAGCTGCAGTAAGCTCTAAGAGTTCATGCGAAGCGCAGGGTCTGCGTTCTTGGGAGTACGCTGCGTGCGCTGCATCACAGCTTGCTGTCTCTGGTGGACCTCCAAACCTCCCCATCCTTACTGCTTTAAAATGACTTTATTATTACTAAATGCTTGCAGGGAAACAAAGCTCATACTAAATTACTAAATAATCGTTAAAAAAATATATTTAAAGAGAAAATAGATTGTTTTATTCTCACGCCCTTACCTGTCATGTGGTAGCTGCTTACCTTGCATAGAATAACTGTCTTGTCTGCGTGACCCCAGAGCCTTGGCTAATGTTAGAAAGTTCATTCCAGTTATTGACAAGTTTTTGTGTGTTTCTTAAGTTGTTAGAATAATGTACAGCAGAGTTCTGTGCTAATACAGTGCTTATTATGATCACCTTCTTTTCTGTTTTCAACTCAAGCAGTTATTAAAGTAGCAAAAGTTTTGTGGTTAAGTAACTACTAAGGTAGAAAGAGTCAATAAAAAGGATGGATTTACATAAGGGTGGATATAGATTAAGTTGCTCAGAGAGGGAAGTATGACAGGTATAAATGCAATTTTATGTGAAAGATGGAGAATTTGAAAAATGATTATTGCTTGTTTTTGAGAAGACGTTTATCTCCTGTTAATGTGTTCATAATGATACCCATCAGCTTGACAAGGTATTTCTTAACAGCCAGACTGAGTTTTGGGACTGGTGCTGGCTACCTGTTTAATACACAAAACCCCTTGATGGAATGCTTGTGTTGGACTGTAAGCAATGCACAGGCAGTTTGTTACGTGCAGGAGAATGTTCCTTAGCACGCTCTGTTCTTCCTCTTAAGGGTAGGAACAGTTCTTCATTTCCAGGTATACTAAGCTCTTTTTGCTCCTTGCTGTGCTCTGCGTGTGTTGCTTTCTCATTCATTTGTATTTCAGCTGCATTTAGTACACTGGAATGCCGTTGTGTACCCAACTTTTGAAGAAGCTGTAATGGAAGGTAACGGACTGGCTGTTATTGGAGTGTTTTTAAAGGTAATTTCACTTCGTGTAATAAGCTGTAATGATGCCTCTTTACTTTCATTTTTTTAAAACTGATTCAGGACAAAATACCTCTAGATTTTTGTTGATTGTTGTTTTCAAAGAATACTAATTAAGGTAGATATGCAGAATGTCAGCCCATTGATTTTCTAACTCCTACCCATCTTCTGCAGCTCGGAGCACATCATGAGGGGCTGCAGCCGCTGGTGGATGCCTTGCCAGCAGTTAAGCACAAGGTAAGTGTTTTTAAGCATCCCACCCGTTATCACACAGCGTAGCTACACAGTCATTTAGCTTAAAAATACCTTGAGACTAGCAAAACGCTAATAAATGCTTTCTTCTTTAAATGTCAGGTGGGCTGATTGACACCTCGGGTGAATTGTTGATTCTACTGGCAGCAGGGTGGAAGCTAATTTTTAAGGAGAAATTGTCTATTTTAAGCTTTCCAAACCTCTTGGTTTAGGAAATGATGCTTCTGAGATTGTATCCCTTTAGAATGGCATGTGTATGTTTAATCCTTATCTCCACTGAAGCCTGTCCTTCCTCTTCCATGAAAACAGATGCCCCAAGCTTAGTATTCCTTTGTTGTTTAACTGAAAGGAACTTTCTGTGCTGTGTGAAGTGGCAGTTTATTTCTTGTGGAGTTAAGGCTTTCTGATTGTTGTCTGATCTTTGAAGAGTAGGTTATTGTTGGCTTTATTTTAAACACTAGATTTTCTGCTAGGGGAATGGGACTCTTTTCTTCATAGCTGATTGCTGACTTCTGCCAGGAGAGGGAGTGCTGACTCTCTGAGTGCTCAGAAGCAGCTGATGCTCCTCCAGGCGCCAGTTCCTTTTTGAAAGTACACACCAAAAATGAACATCAGGAATTTTGCTAGTAAGCACATCCACTTGAAGTCGCTGTGCCACTATTTATCAAACTAAGGAATTATTTTTTATTCAAATAAAACAAATATTTATGGCAGTGCAGTGAAAATTCTGCCAGATCAATGCCGAACAACTCGGTCCAGTGCCAAAAGATTCACAGAAATCTATGAATATACTTCTATTATGAGAATATAATATGTTACAGCATAGGAATTTGAAAGAAACTAAATTCTAGATCTTAGAGTAATATCAAGCATCAGGCTAATCAAGTTGCACGTGGGCTGCTCTGAAAGGGATCTCATTTCCAGAGGGTGTTGACACCCAGTAACTCATCAGCACTTGGTTTAAAATGTTTGAAGCCTTTGTTGCCTTGCCTGTGTTATCACCGCTTAGGCATCCAACCCTGCTGAGGAGGAGGAGGAAGGTCACATTCTGATGTCCTTGCACCTTCTTCTCTCACACGAAGAGTGAAATCTCCCATCTAGAATCTCTTGTCCATCCCTCTATTCCTGAGAAATTGTTTACTGTAATGTTGCTCATTCTCAGTGGGGAAGCAATAAAGCCGATGTAAGGAAAAACAGGATCTTCCGTTCCTGCATTGCCAGTATATCCTGGAAATACTCCAGGAGTAAAACGTTTGTGCAGGAAATCATGGACTCTGAGGCTCCTACATGCTGTCTGGCATCTCACTTGTGGGAGTGCATGTTCTGGAGAAATGAATATTTGATATGATTTAAATAAAACTAGTCCTCTTCCTTCTCCCTGCTGCCTAAAATCACATGGTGGAAAGTAAAAGCAGAGCAGTCTATTAAGTGTGTCTGGCAGAAGTACCTGAACTTCCACCACTTATTCCTTCTTTTTCCTGTTGCTTCTAGCTCCCACAAAGACATAGTCAGTTGCTCCTTTTCTCAGTCTGTTTCCTCTGCTCCGAATTCCTAATGGCTTGTGGGGACAACAGAAATACTGAAGTTTTGTCTACTCACTAGCTGCTCTTATGCCTCAAACCCAGATGACCAATTTTGTACGAGTTCAGGGGGTTTACAATTATTATTTTATCTAGATCTTTCTTAATATTCACAATACCTAATTTTGCCTGTGTAACATGTACAGTATTTAATCTCATTAAGATATTTTAGTCTTCTGTCCTTTTTCTTCTCAAAATACAATTTAATTTTTTTTTCTGGTGTTTAGGACACCGTTATTGAGTTCGATGTCTTTGATCCCTCCTGTTTGATACCTTCATGCCCTGATTATTGGACCTACGCGGGCTCTTTGACTACTCCCCCACTCACCGAGTCAGTCACATGGATCATTAAGAAGAAGCCAATAGAGATAGATGAGAATCAGGTAAATCTCATGCTTACGTTCCAAATCCTATCATACCTGTTTGACTGCCTGCTGCCATGGGGGAAGATGCACAGATGAAGTTGCTTACCAGTATGAGTAATTCTCTGTGAATACAGAGAGATCAGTGGCTGCTTCACGCCCAGTATTTGTTTGGGCAGGTATCCTGACATCAACAGCAGCTAATATTGAAAGGTTTAAGAACTCTTTCAGTAACCAAAAATGCTTCTCCAGCTCTCCAATAGTTCTGTCTTGGTCTGGGATAGACAAATGTTGGAAGCTGCCCCTTGAAAACTTTAAAGGTTATCGATTGGAACGCTGCATAATTTTGCTCTCCTTACCAGGATGCAGCTCTGTTTGTGGTAGGGAGGGAGGAGAAAGGGCAGGTTTTGTGAAATTCCAAACTCTGACCTTTTGTGCCAGTCTGCCAGGGCTAATCCTCTGTTCTTCCCTTGGGCAGACGCTGAAGGTAGGGGAGGGATGGTGGGTGGCTCAGAGTCCTCCATGTGCCACTGATGGCAAGAGATAGTGAGTCCCCATTGGGTTTCTCCTTTGTAGGCATGTTTACTCTATATTTGGCTGTACTGTCCTTGGATTCCCTTTTTTTTTTTAATTCCCCTTTGAAAAGGACAGACAAACAAAAGCTTCAGCAAGTGTTTGTACTACAGAATTTATTTCAGATGGAGAAGTTTGTGGTCAGTAGTTGTTCGGAGACCAACCCTAACTTGTCACCATGTGCCCTCTACTTAATCTTTCAATGTGACGTTATTCCTTGGTATGAAGTAGATGGAGAGACAAGTAGAAAACAGCCAGGAGGAGGACTCAGTGGAACTGTGCTTTTGTTGGAAGTTTCCAGGATTTTTTTTCTGTTCAGAGAAGTGGAGTACTTGGAGGGACATTGCAGCACACTACAGATACTGGAGGTTGTTGCAAAGCAAGTAAAATGAACAATCTCCCAAAATCTACCATTTTTTTCATGGTTTAAGAGGCACTGGAAGTTATCTGTGTGTTGTTCCCGTTTTTTGAGGCTTTGATTAGTAACGAAGCGCGAGTCCAAATGAGACAAAACGCTGATTTGGTTTGGGATTTTTCATATAACCGTTGCACGGAGCTAGTCCAGCTAGAAAGCCACGCTCCAAGCACACGTGAATTCTGAAGAGTAAGCGGGTACTGATCTAATGTTTCAGTTTGCATGAAGGAACGGGACAGAAAGAACTGGAGGTCATTAACAGAGCAGAGAGAACTGAATGCAGTGTATCAGTCCTTCCAATAGAAACTTTTTCTCCTTGTTTTTCCCTTGGCTCTTCACTCCCATTCTTTTATGGCATGGAAAAGCTTACAGTTTACTTAACATTGTAACGCCCTTGTGAGCATTGAAAGCTGACCTGCTGCACGCTCTTATTTTAATCCCAGTAGAAACCAGTGAGAACAACTACGGTGTAGATTGTTGCTTGTTGAGGTTCTCTCTTTTCTGGGTGCTTGCATGTGCACGTTTGTAGAAGATAACAGAACTCCAGGGAGGGTGTAAATTTAGAAGGTTGGAAAGGTTTATTTAAAGCTGGTGTGTGTTCCAGTATTTGAATGGGAATCGGTTCCGTCTCAGACTTGTCACATCTGAGATTTAATTTGCCTAAAGGTGGCACTGCACTGGTACGGACAAAGGTGTAATCTTCACCAGCAGGTGACAAAGAAGTTTGTACTCAAATTTCTCAGAATACAAATGTAATAGGAACTTTGATCCTCCCCAAGCATGAAATACTGTCTTTTTATAGTGAAATCAATAATTATCCAGTTAGTAAAGTCACAAAACTGGACATTTCTCATCCTTAGCTGGAGGCATTTCGGATGCTGCTCTTTACTTCAGATGGTGAAGAAGAAAAGAGAATGGTAGACAACTTTCGCCCTCTTCAGCCACTGATGAACCGAACCGTCCGTTCATCCTTCCAGAGCAGGCACCTCTTGGATATGGATGTGCAGCCCCGGGACCATGCCGAGCAGGTCAGGCCATAGATGGCCCATGGAATGTCAGTCCAGACTGCAGTACCTGGATATAACTGACATTTCTCAATGGTTTTTCCTTTCCTGCAGTGTGTGTATGCCGTACAGCTTCACAGCCAGCCAGTTTCAGTTCTGCCAAGTGCCATTGGAGCTTCAGCAGAGAAGCTGTGGGTTTTTTTAGTTTTGCTTTTTTAAAGGAGTAGATGGTACTAAACCCTAACAAATTGACTTGTTTTGAAGCAGGGATCAATTAGGAATTTGTTTGACATATAAAATAAGGGCAGGAGATCTCTTTTCTGAATTGTTCTGTGCCTCTTCAAATGCTCTTTCGGTGATTTGCATGAATTGATAATCCCAACTGAAAACGTGCTAGCGAGCAGGGTGTGCGAAGCGAGAAGTGTCAGTACTGATCAGGTCCTTTTGTGGAATGGTTTCAGAGGTTTGGGAAGAGAACTAGCTTCTCCAGTCACACACACAGAGAAGTTTTATCTTCTTCCCTTTCCCAGGGAGCTTAGGGTGACAAGAAGAGAAGGGAAAAAAATGACTTACAGAATTACACTTCCCATTCCATTGGCTGTCTGATCCATGTTCAATATGGATGCCACACAATGTCTGCTCTACACCACAGCCCAGAAGACTTTTTCTAAAACCTTTTAACAGATGTAGAAACTTTTAGCTTTGGCAGCTTTTACTTTTCTCTATTAATAATGTACCAGGAGAAGAAAGCAGAAGAGAATTCACCAGTATCTCAAGATCGGGTAGAGCAGCAAATTAGGCGAAAATGTCCAATTGATCTCAGGAAACTGATGACATCAAAGGAAAGCAAAATTAGATAAGCCCCAGTTGACCTTCCCAATGGGATTTGGGGGGGAAAAAACCCACACATAGCCCAATTTCTGAAACTTAATTCAGTGCTAGGAGGGTCTGGACAAAATTCAGCATTCGTGCATTCTTCACAGTTTTCTCTTAAGACATACTTTTCTTATCAAAAGAGTTATCTAGCTTCAAGACAACTGGGGACCAGATTGTATTTATAGCACCTTATGATAACGAAGTTAAGTGGTGGCTGAAATTTATGTCTGGACCAGACAAAATTGTTGTGTAAGCTGCCAGCTGCAGCGCCTTATCCTAGAGTTACCGTCCGCTTGCCACCAGTATTATCTACCTCTGAAGCATACTACTAGCCATAATTTTCTCTGGAGCACCTTTACTCACTGGGTTTTTATGCTTTAATGTATTTAACAGTGTGCCTGTGCGTAAAATCCATGGACCAAATGTATGGTCAGATTTTCTGATGAGGAGTAGCTCTGTCTGTAAACTCGTTATGTGATCGTGATTGGTTGTGCTTGAGGAGCTGCCTTGGAGAACAGATGTTACTTGGTCTGCTTCTGCAAAGCCACCGGTTGCTGGTGTGATTCAGCCCAAGTAAAGCCAGCCCACTAGCTCGTCAGTGCTGAATTCAGAACGGTACAACCAATACCTTTCTTTTTTTAAGTCCAAGTGTTCAGTTTAAAAGCACTTTAACACTTTTTAGTGTGACCCCGATGATTTTGACTATTCTTGTTTAACCAATTAAGTGCCCAGGTCCTGCCTTTTCTTCCTTAACAGCTCTACCTCAGGCTGTTGTTAGATTGCAGCAGTTGTGCCTGTCTCCCTTGGCAATTTGAAATGTGGCCACTTAACCTTAGAGTGACTCTACGTGGTAAATGTAAGAAAATCTCTTTTCTATCCCAGCGTAGTATGCTTATTTTTAGTACTGTGTAGTATATTCAATGTGGCAGTATATACCTTCAGTTTCGTTCCCTCTCCTAAGCCCTCGCTGCTCGGTTGACCCTCACCGTTTCGGGTGAGCTCTGCAGAACCATACCACCCGTACCAAGGCGGTTGAACGACACCATCTCAGTTGAACTGTACAGTTTTGGCATCATCAGACAGACTTTTTACTGTGTTCCTGGCCTGCAGAATCGCATCCGTGATGGTTCTGCCAGAGAATGACAGGTTCCAAAGTAATTTTGGAAGGGTTATCTGCGGTTCTGGCAGTAGGGAAGGAATTCTTTTACTTTCTGCCTGAATGTGCGTGATCTAGTCGTTGCTAAGCTTGAGGTTTTCGTTCAGTGCTTCTCTTGCAGGCGCTTTTCGTAGGAGGAACCCCGTAGAAAGATGGTTCAGAACTGGCACATACCTTGCCTGTTTTAGGGGTTTTTGCTGTTTGTTAGTAGCAGCTAGGGAAAACGGCGGTAGAAAAACCTCTTAATTGTGCCTTCGCAGGTGACTCGGCAGCACTGAGCTCGCTATAGGTAGCCTCTCAATATCCCTGTCATACGTGAATGGGTCTTCTGAAAAGCATCATCCTTCCCCAAAGATTTTTAATTGCCTTGGTAATTTTCACCAAGTTTTTGTGTACCTCTGATCCACCGGGTTTGTTTCACTAGTTAATAGGGCTTTCCTAGCATATGCAAGTAGAAAATGCCTATTTTGTTCTTAGGGGACTGGGGACTGCTGTGGTTAGATGTTTAATCCTCAGATGCTGCATAAGGCTGTGCTACGCTCATACCCTACCGAGTTCTCAATGGTTAGGTTTGCTCCACTGAACCAAATTTTCTTCCTAAGTGTCTAAATCTTTTTTTCACACGCTCAACACCTATTTTCAGCGATCTGTTTAAAATTCTCATAGAGATTTACTTTGTTAAAGTATTGTCACGGAAGTTGCGTTGGGGAGTAGGTGTATTATCCAGTCATACCCTTAATAAGCTATACTCCTTATATATTTAGATAAAATCACATCTAATTGTACTGACATAAAATTGATTCATTTCAGTTTCAGCACTAATCATTTCAAATATCCGGAAACAGGGTCAATATAGAAAAAACCTAACTCTTCTTTGCTACAAAAATAACCTTTACATGGACTTAATGTTACAGTTATTTTGCTGGGTTTTTTTGAGCCTTGCATTTACGTGCTAAGTGTTTCAGCATCTCTGGTTCAGGTAGGCAGTATCTCAGTTGCAGGGCTGATTGTTGAAATTAATCTGGGAATGAACAGAAAGGTGTTTGGTTTGGGGTTTTGGTGGTTGTTTTTTTTAAACTTTTATGTTACAATGATTGTATTCAAAAGCTAACTCCAAGAAAAATACCTTTGTGTGCCTGCACGTGTATGTAAAACAGGGGATGGGATATCATTCTTTTGCCTTGTCCTCTCAGTTGCGTGGTGGAGAAAAGCAATTTGATGTGATTGTTGGACTAGAGCTAATATTTGCAATAATTTTGCACAACTAAGTTGAACTCTATTTGAAAGGTGTCTGCTTAGGAATCTGTGGGCTCTTCCTTTAGATGGTACAACGGAGAAGGGCCAAAGCACACGTTTGTACCTGTCCTGGCGCAGCAGTCACTTCCGTTACTTAATGCTGTACTGGGAGGTGCTCCTGTGGCAGGAAGTACGAGGAATTAAAGACTAATGGAACTCAATTTTGGGACAGCGTGCTGAAAGGGGAGTAAAGGTTTTTAAGCATAGACCTGCATCCGTGTTGGTCTGACTTCCAACTGCCTTTCACTGTTTCTGTTTAAATGTTGCTCCTATTAGAAGTCTCGTTCTTGGTGACTTCGTAGCTGGAACGACTTAATTTGGCATTTGATCTGTATTCCTACATTCCAGAACTTTCACACCAGGACACCACCACCTATACCTGAGCAGTCTTTTGTTGCCTTCTGTCACGGATGGCTTGTGTTGGTATTATTACCACAAATCCGACAGCAGTGTATCTTTTGGCTTTGAAAGCTACAGAAATGGAGATTGCTTTGACCTCACGAAAATCTGCTGGGTTGTAGGGGACTGGAATGCTACACAGCTCACTTTTGAGGAAGGGTCCCTCTGCTCAACTTCAGTCAGTAACCTTTGCTGTAACACTTGAATGCCTTAATTCCGAATGTCTCAACTTGTATTTCTTGGCCTATCTTTACCGTTTTCTTTGTGCACCTTGTTTCCGTGGCAGTTGTTATGCTGTATTAACATATGTTACCTGCCTAATCCTAATTTTCTGAAATAATCATCTTTGTGGGCAACATAGGTAACAGGGAATGCCTTTGGTTCTCCTCGGGTTCAGGCCTTTTTCCTCAGTTTTTACCGGATGTAAAGGAACTTGTAGCTGCTGGATTCTAAACTGTTACATTAGCGTGTGACTATGCAATAAAGAAACAGAGAAACCTGTGCCTGGATCTCATTGTGTAATTAAGCTCTCCAAGCCAAAAAAGTCATTTTTCTGTCAAGAAGAAAATACCATTCCTCCTTGAGAACAGACCAGTTCATGGTGAGTGGAGTCGAATCAGGTGTCAGCCATTCGGTGGTACTCAAAGGCTACAAAAGACTCTGCTGAACTGCGTTGCAGTTGGAATGAAAGAACAACCACCTCTCTGTTAGGAGGGAAGGATATCTAATTATTTGTTACATTCAGCGAGAAGCAACGTGCTGTCTGACGTGGGATTCCAGACTTGGAGGATCTCTGCTCAACTACTTTATCTGGCACTGAAATTAAGCTCCATCAGTCAAGTAAGCTCCTTTTTTCTGTTGTGTAACCGCTC